TTTCTACCTTAATTTCAAGTTCAAGTTTCTCTTTATTGGTACGTAGAAGGTTTAGATGAAATTCTTTTTCCAAGGTTGAACATACATATAAAAAATATAGTTAAAAGGTATTACAATACAGGATACATTTTGATTAGTTAATATAAAAAATATATAATATTGCAGTACATAAACATAGAATCTTAATGAATATACTGATTGCAACTATCTCTATGGCTTGTATAAAACATGTCTATAGTTCAGCAGCAAAATAAAGGATGTGGGGTGAGAACTACCGCAACACCTCAAATTGAAGCCTAGTGGGCTTAATCTCGAGATGAATCTCATCTGGAAATATTCAAGGCAAAAAAATCAGGCTGAAGTTGTTCAAATTTACCTCATAATACAGGTACATTATATTATCAGCATGCACTCCCTCACTTAATTATCGAGGCCCCTCCCTGCTTCACCTTTACACCCCATTATCCCCTCTCCCTCATCATTCAAGATATGGCACTACTTTTAGAAAGCCATTCAACAATATGAATTGACATTTGAGTGGGCTTAAAAATTCTTCTTCCATAGATACTAAATAGTCTGATTAGAACCTAAATGCTAAAATAACAAATTCAATCATATTGGTGAAAAGAGAGTGATTATATATCCACTCACTTCATTGGATTTGATTTTCTACTTCAATTAGTACATTGTTAGTCGTGGAAAACAAAATTCCCAGATACAGTTTGCCAATTAGGTTCATCGAAAATAAATCTTTAGGAAGGTCTGCGCATAAAAGGTATATCTACGTCATTACAACAGAATAAACATAACAGATAGCATGAACTTTGTAAATCAATAATGCTATTACTACAAAATTATTAAAGCTATTTAATGAAAGTATTCTTCGAGTACAAAAGGTGAGTATAGGGACCGTGAAAGTTTTTATTGGAAAAGTCTAGAGGAACCTGTTTGCTGATAATATTGATAATAATATTGATTGATGATGTAGCGGATGTTGTGATGTAGCAGATGCTACTAAATTATTGATGATGGTTGAATATGAGGTGGACAAAGATGAACGCTACAATCAAATTAATGTAAAACAGATAATTGCTACCATTTAAATTTTACAGTGCACCCTCCAAGACCAAGACCATCCTCTATATTTGAGACCACTTTTTCAAAGAACCAAACAATCTTCCGTCTATGAATACTAAGCTAACCCAGTATGTGATGACCGAGCCTCAAGGCCACCCAAATTTTCAGGTCCCAAGGTGGTCCCACATTGAAGGGTCAAAATGAAAATTGTCTATTGATATTGCATGAGTATACGGCAGAAACTGGGTCAGAATTACGCTGTAAACGTAGTCCATTACGGACAAGGTGCTATCAGTCATTGGTCATCTGTCCACACACTGCACTTGACATGGCTATCAAATGAAACTGAAATGAAGTGCAATATACTAAAAAGTACTGTAGGCTCTCGCAGACAGCTTGAGTATACAGATACGTTGTTGATGAAAGTGATTGAGTGTACGATGTATGCTTGTGATAATATTTCTGAAGTGTATTTGAACATTATGTGTGAACCATACATGGTTTATTAATAAAATGCTAGTATTTTAACATGTAAGTTAGTTCTTATTGGTTTTGTTTTTAAGCCTTTTTCTTATTTGTTGCAATGTATATTGTTATTTCATTTAATTTCATTTAATTTATTTATTCGACCAATACACATTTACAAAAGGTATAGTACAACAAAAATTATGGTCAGGTGCATTTTACTATAATAGGCCTATAGTTAATTTAGTAGTTATACAGTAGGCTTTAATAGGTACACTCAAGTTATAGGCCTATAGGTATACTTAAAATTACTTGCAGGGATATTTTGTGAGAATTCCTGATACATGTAGTCAACAACAAAGCAGATTTGAACAAGCGTAGGTGGTTAAATACTATGTATACAATAATAGAGACCTGGTATTATAGTAACCCACATTCTATAGATTGTAACCTAAAATAGATAATAATAATCCATTTAGATTCTTTTTGAGTACAAATAACAATGAATTTCTATCACACCAGCATTTTATATATTTATTTCTGTCTTTTGTGTGATTACACTTTCAGTGACGTAGCACTGGTATCACAAGTAAAAAGAATAAAAGAAAACCAAAATGAAAAAAAAGAAATTGAACTTAAAACAAAACTAATGAGTTAAAGAAAAAAAAAATATGTACATAAATATACAACTACTGCATCAAAAACAAAATTGCTTAAAACTCATAACAAAATTGAAAAGGAAAAGGCAAAAGGAATATTAAGATATTAGTATTAAAATACTCTATGTAGATCTTATTTTTGACCTAGATATGTAACACACAATTGCAGGGGACCCACAGTGTCCGCAAGTTGCGAGTCCTCTCAGTAAATCGGTCTCCAATACTGAGTGCATGCAAAAGAATCCGCAAATTTAAACCCACCTTTTATTAAAAATTCTGAATGTATGTTCAGAGAGCAGCTTAGCTTAGTAGGCTAATCTGGTGGTAGCCGCTGTGTGTGCGCTGAACCGTGGAGATCTCTAGGTCCCCGGTTCAATTCCCATTGCTGCCTCTCTTTGTGTTTCAGCTAGAGGGCTGAAATACAAGTTACAATAATGCACTGTCTTTCGGATGAGACGTTTAAGCCGTTGGTCCTGTGTGCATTTATGGCGCATGTCCACGTTAAGAATGCAGTACACCCTTCGGAAAAGAGTAGGAGATTGTCTCCCGATCTACTGCCCAATCACCACCAGAAGGACCCCACTAGAAATAGTCTTCTTCTAGACTTTCATGGGCTATTTTTGATGTTTACACTGAATAAATTCAATCGATCAGTTAATCAAAGTCTCCCTGAAGTCATCTATGGGTAGCACTGACATGCAATGCAGCACTCTATATCAAACTAGGTTTTATTCAAGTGTAAATATTAATTCAACTAAATGTTGGGTTGCTGTTGTATCAAATTCAGTGTTCTATTTACATTTAAAATGCGAACCTGAACATGTTGACGAATCAATGAATGAAGATGCCTTGTTTACAGATGTTCCACGTGGAACAATTTTGTGTAAATGTTAAATGAGGGCAGTGTTATTTATTCTTGTATGTGCAGCTGTACTATAAACATGTTGCTGTATAAGACATTTGCATACCAATGAGGTGGGTTATGTAAAGTGATTGACAGTGACTAGAGTATGTGAAGTATAGGCCTAAACTAGCAATATTGAATTGTAGTAGATCCTTGCCGAGCCACTAGGGTTCATAGGGCTGGAGCTTATCTCCAGTTTCTGTAGTGAAAAGCGGATCAGAGCGTGATGCTCCCTGTGGTAGGGACATGTCCACCGCAGGGTACTCTCAGCAATTTGTTGATACCCATTAATACAGCTGGGTAGGCTGAAGCAATGTAGAAAAGTTTCTTGCTCAAGGAGACAACTGAGGTGCACAGTGAAAGATTGAAACCCAGACTTCGAGGCTGGAAAACCAAACCATTCCTGCCGCGCCAAAACACTTCCACATTTTGATTAAAAGTACTATGATAATATATAAATTTATAGTAAGTTGCTTCAGGATTAAAATTTGCCACAAAATGCTAGAGCTTTGGATCTGTATATCTAATAGAATGAAAGTGAATGAATAAATCAATAAATAATAATAATAATTACCTGAGAAAAAATTTAAATACATGAGATTGTTTTCTGCTATGATATTTAAATGCTTCAAGGATTTTCTAATAAAAGACAAATTTTAAATCAGATGAAATTGTTCTTTAGATATTACGTGTATATGATAAATTATGATGCAATATATAGCTATTATAGAACATTTTATAAACAAATAATATGGGTATTGTGGGATTTCAAGCATTCTCTTTATTCATGATGTACATGTTTCATAGATCTTTGAACGCAGTTTTTATTCTTGAGATTTTCTAGTAAAAGAACGATATATTATTGAGTCAGATAAAGTGTGTTTTTAAATACATTACATGTAGTAATATGATGTTTTAAATTACTACACTAATAGGTAATTATTATAGAACAAATACTATGTGTGCTTCCAATCTTACCTCTTGATTCATGATCCATTGATCTTTAACATAATTGTTGAGGATTTTCTAACAATGGACAAAATATTGAGTCAGATAAAGTGTTCTACAGATTTACAGCATTTGATATATTTAGGACACAATAGATAACTATTATAGAACATCTATAAATAAAGTAGGCCTACTATGTGTTGTGTGCTGCCAAGCGTTCTGTTGATTCTTAATGCATGTGTTACATTAATAACATACAATACATTTTGATTAAGCAATGGAATTCATTTTAGTGATTAGCCTAGTTGTAGAATGCGATTGATTTATGAACCATTGGTTTGTTAGATTTAATTACATATTTTGTTGTCATTACCAAGGAGAGGTGCAATAAGGTTTCTACTTGTTTGTGAAAGAGGCACACTTGTACAAATTAGTTTTTGTACAGTATATTTATATGTATGTAGTTTGTGCCTATTTTTGTGAAAATTAAAAAAAAAAATACATATTTCTATATTTTGTCTTTATGGTTGATTTAAAAAGTCTGGCTTGTGTGTTCCTTGGCCTAAACTCTGGATCTGCCAAGCCCAACATCCTGATTCCATCACACCCTAAATCCTTGAGCCAACTTGCCTGATATCCTGGTTCTTTTATAAACCCCTCCATTTTGGTTCCGATGATTGAAGAGATCTCTCAGACCTAAATAGTAAAAATAAAAGTGTAATATTATGTACAAATATGTTTATAATAATTATACTTAAAAACGTGACGTCATTCTCCTTTTTTTTTTTAAATATTAGAACGAGAATCTATTTTTTTAAAGCGTGGCCAAATATATCAATTCTTTTTATTTTAGCTGAAATCTTATTACAGTAAATATATTCTCCTAACACAGACAGAAATATCTAAAAAAAGAAAATATCATTTCCCTAATTCTTTTTATATTGTAGCTGAAACCTTATCAGAAGATGAAGAGGAATTAGACGGCAAGATGGGCAAAACACGACGATCATCTACAGGTGGACTGTCGCCCTCACCTGGCGGTCCATTCTCAGCTCTTATACCATCTATGTGGCCTCAGGATATTCTAGCACAATTAGCAGAGGTAAGTAAACTGTTGTATGTCCATATATAGTGATGATGTGCCTATATATGGTCATTATGTGATGTCATCATCACCATATTTAGGCATGTCCTTTTGTCAAATAAAATTTGATAGTCTGTCCACACTGTCACATTTTCTTTTGCAAAAAAAAAAATCTGTTGTATGCCCATATATAGTGATGATGTGCCTATATTTGGTCATGATGTGATGTCATCATGACCATATTTAGACATGTCATGTCTCTGTCTAAATAAAATTTGATAGTTTGGACAGCGTTTAGCCTTTAATTAAAAATTGAAAATAAGGTAATAACTGTATTATGTTCTGAATGTGTCTCATTAGAAATTGACAACATATTCATTTATTTTAAATAAGAAATTCAATGTTTTATTAAATTCTTGAAGGATTTTTCTAATTTTAAAACAGACAGTATTGTAGGTCTTTTTAAAGATATATTTAAGATATGCGGGCAAGTTCCAATTAGAGAATTATAGTTTAGGAGGGACCCTTCTGGTAATAGGTAAATGTAAATGTATTCATGTCATGTTTGCTCAGATCCAATCATTGAATTTATGCCATTATATTATTTAATCAAGTTTAATTGGAAAGGGAATAACCATATCAGAAAGTCCAAAACAAATTGACTGTGTACGTGCTACAGTCCAGACTAGCCTGTGTGTGGTGATTTTCACCCTTTTTCTTGTGTCATATTTTTTAGACTGAAGACTCGAGAGGCCCATCCGAATTTCGATATGATGAGTTTGGTTTTCGAGTAGAAGAAGAGGGTAAGGTGTTCATTTCAACTACTATCAGCAATTGTTTCAACCTCTGTTATTTATTACCAAGTTTTAAATCAATCATTAAAAAAAACCTGAATATGAATATTTATAATTGTGAGAGGTATTTTTTCAATTCAACTTCTTCCACTTGTTCAACACAAGGTATACGATGACATAAGTATATATTATAGGCATCACAAAAATATTACAAATTAATGACAAAATGTAACAATGAAATAAATCCTAAATACCATAAAGTAACAATAAGAGATGAAGCTCAGAAAAAAGTGTTTAAACTTTGAAATAGTTGGCACCATGGTAATACAGACCTTTCTTTTTTGTTGTCAAGTTACAATGTATTATTAGATATGAATAAATTAAAAAATAGAGGATAAAATTATTCGGAAAGCTCTCTAGGTTATTTAGTTTTCAAAAACAACCTGGTTTATGCCCAGATGTGCCTATATATGGTCATAATGTGATGTCATTGTGACCATATTTAGACATGTCACATGTTTTTGTCAATTTAAATTTAATAGTCTGGCCAGGGCTTTCGGAGTTTAACCTTTAAAAGTGACAGCTGTGGATTGGCATTGGTGTTTTGTTTTTTGAGTGCAATAACCAGGTCATTCCATTGTCAGTCCAACTGTGCTTTTGCTCTCCCATTTTCTAGCTTCCTGTAAACATTAATTCTGCTTTCACTCTTTATTTTAAAGCTGTCTTTTTTGTTGATATTTTGGTGTCTTTTAAATCATTTTGCTATCACATTCATTATTTTTCTTATTACATGCAAACAATAATTTGTATACATTTTATAGAATTAGTATATTTTTATACCTTCTCTAATCACATATTGTATTGTTTTTATCGTACAATATATAAAAAAATAAATAATATTTGTGTGTCCATTGTGAAGAGTTACTGAAATGTGAACTTTTTCAGAAACACTTGGTTTAGTGGCACTCACAATTTGGTGGTGCATCCAAATTACAAAAAAAAAAAAAAAGAAAAAAAAAATCTGTTTTGATAATATTTGAGCCTGATATTTTTTATTTTAAGCGATAATGTTGTTTATATGTATTATTCTCTTTGTTTATATTCTCTAATTTAAAAATATCTGTAGTTTTACAAACTGTATTTAGTTCCTGAAGATGACCCGATAAAGGTCGAAACGTCGAAGCATGGCCTCTCTTTCTTTTTTCAGAGTAACGTTTGTTCTATGTTAGTTACTAGTATTTTGTGCAATTGAATGTGCAGTTTCAAAGCATTTTCATTTCTTTCAGACAGTGATCTACATCTTTACTATGGTACATGGATTATTTGTATGCTGATTCAATTTGGAATGATTGATTGAATTGTTTGATTAATTTCTTCATTTATTTTTAGATGGTGCTGAGCCAAATTCTAGTAAACTTCTAAGCGAGCCGTTTATAGAGGAACCACAGTACCGCCTGAAATGGGTTGCATACTTTGAGTTTTCGCACAACACAGAGGTTGGGGACTTCACGTGGGACCAGGTAAGTTTTATGAATAACCTAACTGAAAAAGATTCTGAAATTTGACAGTAGTGTGATAAGTTTTGTATACTTACATTTGTATTTGTATTACAACTATTACCATCTAGGTCTGTTAAAGGTTGGTGGTGAGGGGGGGGGGAGGGGAGGTTGGATGAGTGTCTGATCTTTTCTTTAAAAGGTTGTTGTTTTGATTCCTATGGCAGCCCAATATTTAATTTCTCCAGTTTACATTATAATTGCAATGATAGAACATTTTACTGCAATGTTCAGTGTTTCAAGTTCAGCCTTGCTACGAAGTGTAAATGATTTAATTTGTTTGTAAAATGTTCTTCTGTCTTTCTTTTAGGTGGATCTTAAGCTTCCATTAACAGACAAGCTTCGGGGTATGATCAAGTCCGGTATCCCACATAGCATGCGCCCTCAACTTTGGATGCGATTCTCCGGTGCTTTACTAAAAAAGAAAGAAAGTGAAACCACATATAAGGTGAGGAAAGAAAGTTTTTTTTTCTGGCCTGTCCTGACCATCAAATTTTGTTTGTCAAAATCATATGACATGCCCAAATATGGTCAAGAATATGATGATATTATGACTATATATGGCCATACAAAAGTTTTTTGTTAAAGAAAATTTATTAACCAGGACTGAGCTTAACAAAGCATGATATTGTTATGCAGGATATAAACATTGAAAATATCTAATGCCTTTATTTACATTGGTAACTTTATAAAGCAAAACTATGCCTTTTGAATAATGTCATCATGTAAATATAATGTAAAAGTATGAGAGGCATATTTTGGTAGTTCAACTAGTCATCCCAGTTATGAAAATATTTTGGTGAGCCTAATCTCATCTTTCAGTTAATGCATATTGGAAATTCAAACATCCTGGGTTCTTTTTTGTGACTGGCCATAATCCAACACCTGAACCTCGTATTTAAACGGCCTGTACTATTATTGTTGCATGACCATGTTGGCAGTGGCTTATCCCCTCCACCCCAAAAAAAGTTAACTACCTAAAATCACCATATTTTGCGAATTAGGGCCCCTCAACTGATCATTGAGCCCCCCTTCACCTTTTCGATCCCCCCTCCCAATCAGGCCCCCTCATTTCAAGACTTCCAGATACGCCACTGCATGTTGGCTGTTGCATTAAGATCTCATCTAAACCAATTCGTTGTTGTTAACATTTCCTGTATTCCTACAATAGGAAGTGATAAAGGCCAGCAGTGGTGATCACACATTAACAGCGAAACAAATTGAAAAGGTAAGCTATACAAAATGAAAACTACAACAAGATTAAACCTTTAGGTTTGTTATAAAGTTTACCATCACATGAATGGCTATAATAAAAATTGAAAGGCAACATATAAAAATGGGAAAATGAAAAATAAGTTTAAAGCATTCAGTGATTATTATGTTTACCATCATGTGTAAGACTTTGTCCACACTATTAATATTTTGTTTGACAGATAAATGTGATATGCCCATATTTGGAGATAATATGACATCATAATGCTCATATATGGGCACATCAGACAAATTTGTCACATAAAATTTGATAGTATGGATACAGCCTTCAGAAGGATAATTACACATGGTCTCATTTCTAATATAAAGAGACATTATGAAACCATCAACTTTTAATATTTAGTCTAGAGGGAGCTATGCACATTATTCACATGCCTTACGTGCACTTTGTTGAAAGGCTTCTGTCATCTTAAGGGTTTAAAAAATGTATAACCAATCATTATCTTTTTCCACACATACATCTCTTTGACAGACTTAGTGTTGTAATAATTTATAGCTAAAAATGTGTTAGAAGAGAATCTGAAGATAATATAAATCTGTATTTCTACACAGGGATTTGCAATTGACTTGTTATGTCTAAATTTATGAAATACTACTACTAAAATTTACTTTATACCCAACCTGGTGCACTTGGTTTTATTTTATTTGGAAAGGTCTGAAATGCATTCACATAAAACATACATAAAAAAAAAACAATAAACCAAAGTAAATCCAAAAAAAAAAAAAAGCAAACAACTAAATTATGCTGCTGTTGCTTGGGAGTATATCAACAATTCCTGTATCACTTTGTACAAATTTACTAACTGATTACATACCGGCAATAGATAACAACCACAAACAGACAGATTGCTGATAAGGATAATAGCATATTTAATAACACACCCTTTTCAATGGACATACCCTTTCCTTTTCCTGTAAACTGTGTAGGCAGATTGCTGTTATTAATAACAATTGATATGAGTTGATTTGAATAGCTTGTACATATTCAAAATCATAAGACATTTATTGCTGTCAACAATATTAAGAAAATTAGTAATTAAAATTGTTCTCCTATACAGCGATATTTTCAACGAAGAATAAACAACAATATAAAGTGGAGATAATTAAAATTTATATATTGGAATTACAAATAGATATTAATATTTCATTTTCAAAGCAGCAGTTGTTGTTTCTCTCCTCCCCATAGTCATTTATAATATCATATTTATTCGAATAAACACCCCAGGGATGGTGGGGGGAGGTAGTTTGTTGTTGAGAATGGTTTTGAGGGGGAGTTTATTCAAAGGAGGCGATTTATTTTTTTGGGTGTAAAATGGATATGTATATACTCAAATTAGCACCCCTTAATTTCCACTGTAAATGTGGAACTAAAACACATGATTACTGCCAAAATGTGATTGCGTGATCATAAAAACCTACTGATCTCAACCAGGTTAAAAAAAAAAGTATTTCTACTGGAATAGAACATTTTTAGAGTGTGTTGAGAATGATACTGTTTCCATTAGATTTATTTACAGTCATTTTGGGTGGGGGGAGTATATATTTGAGCCTTTTGGGTGTTTATTTGAGGGCGGTATTTTTTTCCAAATGGGGGTCTAGAGGGTGTTTATTCAAAGCGGACGTTTATTCAAATAAATACGGTATATTAATATTTTTCATCAAAATGATGTTCTCTAATTGGAGTATAGCCTTTTTTTCATCTAACACATTTGTACATTTTCCTCAATTGAGTGATTGATTATTGATTGATATTTTAAATTGATTGACAGTTTACATATATCATTTATTAATATTAGTTATTTTCTTTTAGGATTTACTTCGTACGATGCCAAGCAATGTATGTTTTAGTTCAAAGCACTCAACAGGTGTCCCGCGGTTACGGCGGATCCTGCGGGCCCTTGCGTGGCTATACCCAGACATTGGCTATTGTCAAGGCACAGGCGTTGTAAGTGTAGTATTGAGTTAGTATTAAGAATGCTAAGGGGAAATATAGTTGCATGGCAAACATTACAATTGTATTGAATGTTTGCAGTAAACCATATAAATAGTTCTAAATTAACTGTTGTTTTTATTGAGGAGAGTGTCAAGGCATTTCAAATGAGTCCCTCCAGTCGTCACAGCGAAGCAATTCAATCGGAATGTCGAGACACTTTCAACAAAACAATTCTTTTCAGAACTATCTATTGTATGTGAAAGTACCGCAAGCATTTATTATTATTGTTAGAGTTCTAATTAGGTTAGCTAGCTATACAAATTTGCAGTTTCAAAACTTCAATTAGATTCAGACAATTATTTCTTTTTTTTCAAATTTACTGTATAATCGGAGCATAAACCTTTTGGAAACGACGATTTCAAAAGCCAGTTTTAAATTTATTTAATTTTTGAGACACAAAAATTATGTACGGGTGAGACTCCAGAGCTCTACAAGGCAACATTAAAGACTGAGCCAGAAAATTATAGACACACAAAACTCCATAAGATCTAGGGTATTTGTAAAAATTAAGCATTTTCTGTTACTGAATTTAAAATTATGCCCCTTCAAATTCCAATCGAGAAAATGTACCTTTTTTTTACCATCTTCAAGGGGCCGTAACTTTCAAACTTTGTGTCGGATTTGAATAGTTTAAACTGGAAAATGATCAGTGCAATGAGTTCTTTAGATGTAATATTAAAAAATTATTCAAAATAATAAATTTGAATTTTCTCATTGGGATACCTACTTCAAGCCATGATTGTCATGTGCCTCGGTTCATCCTTTCAATATCACAAACATAAACATCCTGATCTCTCGATCATGTTGATTGACTGTGAATGCTGGTTGCAATGACATAAGCCTTTTGGAAAAGACTCTGATGTGATATTGGTATCCGTTTTTTCGAAGTATGATTAGTCCAGATCCGAAAATGTTGCTACATTTTACCAAGTTAGATGGTGTGTAAAAACTAGAAACGTGTTCACTGCTGTCGTATTATAGATGTTTCTACATCTGCTTGTTGATTCATTACCAGTTGTGTTGTTTATTGTAGATGGCAGCCTCGCTGCTCTTGTTCCTCGAAGAAGAGGATGCGTTCTGGATGATGTGTGCAATAATAGAAGATTTGGTACCAGCATCGTACTACTCCACTACTTTACTCGGTGTCCAGGTAAACACGATGATAAACCATCCATAACTACAGCCAGTGGCAGATTCAGGGGGAGCCTAGCCAGCCGAGGTGCCCCCCCCCCCATTTTTAAACATTATTTAAAAAATGGGGAAAAATTGAAATTATATTCAAATTTAAGTCTGAGAATACCGTAATCGTACATTTTCTTACCTCAGCCCCAACTATGGTGGGGCTGAGATGGATGGACCCTATATTTCTGAAAGTCCCTCCGTGGGCCCTCTATTTTGAATTCTTGGATCCACCATTGAAGGCTAACTAACTGGGTCATAACTAAGGAACAACTGCTAGCTTTTAGGATCAACTAACACAAGCCATGCTTCAAAGTTTGATCCAAAATTAATGTAAAATATAACTATGCTCAAAATAATTATCTATAATGTTATTTTTCCATTAATAATGAAAAAATTTATTTGATCAATTAAAAAAAACCTTTGATGTTTGAAACATCTTTGGTGTACTAGGCGAGATGAATGGCCGAGTGGTTAAGGCATGGGCGCCACGACCTACAGCCATAATATTAGCATTGGTTTGAATAGCACGCTTGACTTTGGTTCCGGTGGTTAAACAAGTCTTTTTGGATATGAACTCTAAACTGTAGGCCCGTGTACACAATTGGCCCAGAACCATAAGCTGTAATTGTAAACTTTGAAGGCTGATTTCTCAAAAACTGTTCTATAAACAGATGTATGTATTTTTTTTTCTCTGAATAGGCTGACCAAAGAGTGCTGCGACAGTTGCTAGTCAGTTACCTTCCCCAGCTCGACAAGCAGCTTCAAAATCATGACATAGGTTAGCTACTGAAATTGATCTTTTTGCTTATTGGGTTTTGCCTCTGGAAAATAGAATTATGATTAGTGTGTACACTAAAATAAATTCTAATGTGTGAGTGCTTATAATATTTGAGTGATATGTTACCCCATGGTACAATCCAACAGGCAACTTCCATTGTTGATTTTAAGGCAGCTTTAAAAACTCACCTTTTTAACATGTACTTTTCTTAAATTATTCCTCCTGGCATTTACATATTTATTGTTAAGCGCATTGAGGCTTAATCATAATGCACTGTATATGCCTAAATTATTATTATTATTATTATTATTATTGTTGCCATAGAAGCCTCCGAAGTATGGGAACTTTCAGCTGTATCCACTGCTTCTTCATTAATAGTGAATACATCATTATCTTTGCATAATGAGGTATAATAGTATATTAACTAATTTCTGTAACATCAAGTAGTATTTTAGTACTATATATCATATATTAAGTGTGAGCAGCTTAGCTCAGTTGGCTAAATCTGGTGGTAGCCACTGTGTGTGCGCTGAACCGTGGAGATCTCTAGGTCCCTGGTTCAATTCCCGTCGCTGCCTCTACTTGTGTTCAGCTGGAGGGCTGAAATACAAGTTACAATAGCGCATCGTCTTTCGGATAAGACGTTTAAGCCGTTAAGTCCCGTGTGCATTTATGGCCCATGTGTACGTTAAAGTACACAGTACACCCTTCGGAAAAGAGTAGGGGATTGTCTGCTGGTGTACTGCCCAGTCACCACCAGAAGGACCCCACTGGAAATAAGTCTTCTTCCAGACTTTCGTGAGCTATCCTGGTGTTTACAATCGAATAATTCCAATCCAATCCAATCTATTATTTTACTCATATTGTTGATAATACATTTCATTTTCAGAGCTGTCACTGATAACCTTACATTGGTTTTTGACGGCATTTGCTAGTGTAGTACACATCAAGGTACTACTCAGTATTTGGGACATGTTCTTTAGTGAGGGATCTGTTGTACTCTTCCAAGTGGCACTGGGTATGCTTAAAATGAAGGTAGGTTTGATTTATCTATAGTAGGCCTTCACTTTTAAACATTTATGAAAAATTGATTGTGGAGTTGTAGTTTGTGCTAATGTGGGATGTTTCTAATCCAAAGGCCCTGCTGCCGGGGTTCCAAAAGCAGGGGTTTGGGGGCTTGCTAAGGCACCCAACAAGGTCCAGAGGCAGAGCCCATAGTGGTGGTTATCTTTCAACATTGCATGTAGTTAAATTCCTAATTCAAACCATTACATAAACTAAGAGTGGATCAAAATATTGAAACAATTTTTTTTTTGTCTCGGGCTGCTGCGGAACTTGGGCCCTGAGGATTTGGCCTTCCCTCTGAGTGGTAGTGCCAGACAGAACCCCATATCTTGTAATTGAAAGCCTGCACCTTTACCATTGTTCCACATTTAAATGATTTGACCTATAAGTCCTCCTACACACTCAATCATAATTACTAACACCAGATGGCATGTATCGACGTGTAACAATAACATTTACTATTTAGCCTTCAGTAGGAAAAGCAGCATTGACTTCTCCCTCAAAATATACCAAATATTTTTTTGTATGATTATCTAGTTTTTGAACCATTAATTCCAGTTGGGACCATCTGTTTCTGAATCGTAAGCTTATCAACAAATAGAATTGGCTAATCAGCTTATTATTATACAACTATTGTGTGCAGTAACAACCTGTTCATAAGCCTAGGAATGTTGAACCATATGGAAGCAAATGTTAGTGATTGTCTGCACGAATCATTGAGTCGAATGATATTAGTATAGAGGATATTTTTAAGCATTGGAATATATTTGTAGTCTGTAGGAGATGAATTTTTGCCAAAATTGTGTGTTAGCACACAGTGAACTTTGACCTCTCCAGTTTGTGATGGTAAACAATGATGTATCCAGTAACAGTGAGTATATTTGAAATTGAGTAATTGTTAAATATTATTTTATACTGCATACATACAGTAGATTACAGTCATCTGATTGGTTAAAAAGTGGGTAATAACTTCAAGCATTACTTCTATGATGTAGGTTGAATGAAAGTTTATACATTTTTTTGTGTGTATTGTGATGTAATCTCTAGGCCCCACTTATAACGTCGTCGTGTAATTTATGACACACATGGCAGTAAAAGGGACTGCCACTTCTACGACGAGAAAGTTTGGCCCTTTGACTGCCTAGGCCTAGGAAATAGGCTTAGGGCTTAGGCCTATGTGGTGGTTACTCTTTCCATTCCTTTTTTTAGGCCTTGTACAATCAATTGAACAATGAAATCTAACTCCTCGGTGATATGGAGACTGTAGCCTAGTGTACTACTGTATCCCCATATTAACTTGGGGAAATAGATTTCACCATTCCCCTCATGAAAAATCAATATTTATATCACATATATAAGGAGATTGATGTCTTTAGTGTCATTAAAATAACGAAAGCTTGTGTTAAATAAATAACATCTAAGTTAGTCTCAGAGTGCTGCCTTTTAATTTTCTTTGTATACTGTTTAGACTAACATGGCTTCATTACCACTTTTATCATTAAAATAACTGAAATTATTCTTATTTCAAGAATGTAGTTATTATACAGCAAATTAGTAGTAGTAAAGCTACCTTCGTTCCTAATTATTGTTGTTACCATTATTTTTCCTCCTAGTCCTTATTTGTGGGCGTGGTTAGGCGTAGCGGTTGTGGTTCTGCTTTTCGCCCTTGAGGTCAGGAGTTATCTCTTATGCTTTTCACATTGGGCAACGCACTTTATCTATTGTCTCTCTGCATCCAAATGTACAAGTGGGTACCTTGTAGGATCAAACAAAAAATGCTGTAAAATGTATGGTGAAATTAAATGTCAAAATTAACAGACGAAAATTTAAATAGGCCAATCAAAAAAGTGTAGTACAAATGGATACACAACAACAAGGCAACTCATGAAACACGGAGAAATATACGTAAACATATTATTTATGTTATTGGTGTTTAGTATTGCCATTAGTATTTTTGATGTTACTATTTGTTTGAATAGTTGTCTTTTATATTGTTGTTACTATTGTTTTTATTTGTTTTTGTTATTGTTGTTCTTGGGGCATTATTTCCCATAGATCAAGGTATAGACAAAGAACTATATGTCTAACAAATCACAAGCTATTGAGAGTGTGTTACTGCATTTCATTAGGTGTGGCAATGGCAAAATGTTCAATATATCATAAAGTAAAATAAAAGTTCTTTTTAAACCACCTTCAGTTTTTTGTGGCTTCTGTTGGTAACATGCATGTATCTGTTTAAAAAAATATTGGAATAATACTATTTAAATGTAATGTAATGCCATGTACAAAAAAATAAGTTGAATATGGGAATAGTACTATTTAAATGTTATGTAATGCCATGTAAAAATAAAATAAGTTGTTGATCATCCTCTCCCAAAATGAAAAAAAAAAAAATCAATTAACCAATTTATTATTTTTTTTTTGCCAACAGTCAGGAAAAATATCGTCTTTCCGCCTATAAATCAACTTCGGCAAGGCCTAGGCTTTTTTTTTTTTTGGTGTAATTATTTTGTTTTTCATTTGTTTATTCGTATAAATTCCACCTGATCAAACACTACACTGGAAGATCTGGCAAAGTCAGCCACCATTTACATGAGGCCTGCGCTCTATGGGGGATTTGAAGGCTTGGCATGTATCAATGAGGTGGTTTCATTACTGATTAAAAAAAATAAAAATAAAAAAAAATTCTCCCTCCGTATTGACTTGCATGGCCTTAATTGGTAGGATAAATATCTTCTCTTTTTTCAACAGAAAACCAACTTATGTAAATATACAAAGTAAACATTTCAATTTGTCGACATATTTTATTAGCTTAACATTGAGTACAAACCGAGTATAATGTAAGCAATTCAAATTATGAAATTAGTTATATCTGCTAGTTAAAATGAAATAAATATGAAAAAAGCACACTCTAAAACAGTAGTTTTGTTATGATGAATATCAGTGATAATATTATTTCTTTAGAAAATAATACTTTTATTTGCATTATTTTATTAGAATGCATTTAATATTTGCACAGATGGTCAAACCAATTTTTTCTACTCATGATGTCATATCTCAATACTCTACATTTACATAATTATCAGTTTGATATTACAACCACAATATACAAGCTTTTTATATGATAAAAAGCATTTATTTTTGACATAATGTAAAGAGTAGTATAGTAGAGGTAAGCCTGTAACCAGGTTGATGGGAAGGGGGGGGGGGGAATTCCTGTAGGGTAATTCAAACCCAGAAGTGTTTCTTTAATATTAAAACAAATTGATGATAAAGTATTACTACAGTAGTAAACTAGGCAAAAATTGGAGTTCAGCCAAAACCCCCGAAATCCCACTCCCTTTTTATGGGCCTAGGGGTTACCGATTAGCCAATGAGCTCTTAAACCACCTTTTCTGTGTTCAACTGTGAATTTCCCCACCCCTTCCCACCTCCTCTCCCTTTATCCACCCCTCTCCTTTCTCCCTTCCTCATTCTCCCTCCCTTCCCCCACTCCTCCCTTTTCTCATGCCCTATTCCTTATTAGAAGTACAGTAATTGCAGAGTAAAAATTCCAAGAGAACAATGAAAACAAACAGAAACTCTGCCCAGACCCATGCCATTGCCAGCCAATATTTTGGAACATCTGAAATCTATTTTTCAATTTATCTTATTTATTTACAGAGTGGTTCTTGCATTTTTTTCTTTACACTTTTTTCGATTTTTATTCTGTCAATTTAGGAAGAAGAATTGCTTGAGTTGGAGAATTCAGCACAGATATTCAATGCCTTATCAGATCTTCCAGGAGAAATTGATGATGTTCGGAAATTGATCATGGTAAACATTTGATTATTTATTTCATACTTTTGCTGTATATGCCATGCTATGTTTTTGCAAGCAGGAAGGGTTTTTCCCCATGAACCTGAATTTTTTTAAAAATTTGCTGCCTATTTAATTTTTCAGTGAGTAGAACTAATCTACATAAAAAAAAACTATATGCATAACATGTTTGTTTATATCGCATTACCTGAGCAATCTCAAGCACAAAACTTAGATACCCACCCAAATATTTTTCTCACGATAAGACACAGCCCCACTCCCAAACTTCATGTAGCACTATATCATCTCATTAAACCCAAGCACACAACTCAGATACACACCCAAATATTGTTCTCAAGATAGGAAACAACCCCACCCTCAAGCTTCATGTTGCGCCACATCATCTCATTAAACACAAGTACACAATTTGGATGCCCCCCAAAAGATTTATCTCGCGATAAGATAAGCGCACTCCCAAGCTTCATGTAATATCACATCATTCCAATAAACCCAAGCACACAACTTAGATGCTCACCCAAAGATTGTTGACACCTTAAGACACAGCCCCGCTCCCAAGCTTTATGTAGCGCCACATCATCTCATTAAACCCAAGCACACAACTCAGACACACCCAAAGAATTTTCTCATGATAAGACACAACCCCTACTCCCAAGGTTCTTTAAAGCTAATCCACTGTATGTGACAAACTTGTGTGATGTGCCCATATTTGGGCATGATAATGTCGCATTACACTCGAATATGGGCATATCACATTTATTTGTCATGTACAATTTGCTAATAAGAGTACGTTGTATATAAATACTTAATATAATAATAACGCTAAAAAAAAAAAAAGATCAACATTTCCATGAAGGAGTTGAAACATCGATTTGTCCATAGGGACCATGTACCAGAATTAAAGTAACTTTTAACTAACCAATCAAAAACGAGAAACCAGTAAAATTGACCAATCAAGGCAAAGAAGGTGTGACATATTGACAATTTGTTAGTGTGGACAGAAACTTGCATTGCTTTCATTCATCGGGAAATTACATTGTTGCAACATGATAAAAACATACAAACACCATTCAAGTTGAAAAAAAAAAACTATTTAAATAGATTCTTTTAAAAAAATTAGTTGACTGGTTGAGTGTTTTTAATAGGTGATGGAGGACATAAGATTGGTGTTCATGCAAACGGATTGTTTGCTAGATCCCTGTGCCTTTTGCTTCGTAAGTTCCGCAATTACATTGTGCGCAGTACTATACATCATGCCAACATGATTTTGACTGCATAACTTAAGCCGGTTACTCACTACGCGCGAAACGGCGACGCGACGGCAATGTGACAAAGAACGCACACGAAGACGCGGACCCAACGGATCATCTTTTTAATGAGAATTCGTTCAGATTTCCACTGACAATCAATAGACGGCGTTGCGTTGTCTATCGCTCGCCAGAAGCAAATGTGGATTTGTCATATGACGGTCGTACAGCCATCGTACAACGCAGTAAGTGTCCGGCTTTAGAAATGCTCACAGAATCGATGCTTTGCACAGCCACAGAATGTGGTGCTAACTTTTTCATTAAGGACTTGAAAAAATGATGAGTTTTATGAAGTGAATATATTCATTTTTTTTTCAACCACATTTTAATTCTTCCAATATTTTGGCCACACTATTAAGCAATTAGTATAGTTGCGTATCATACACTAGTGGAAATTATTATACAAAGGTTAGATTAACACATGAAAAGAATTTCTGTTGATCTGCAAGACCCGAAGGAATTTTTGGAATGCATTCATCTATTAACCTAAGTATAATAATTTCCACAGTGATGATGTCACAAATGACTTTAACAAATTTTATGTGACAAAAAACTATGCTAAGCCCATATTTGGGTATAATATGACATCATCCTTGTCTATATATGGGCATATCACACAAATTTGTCACATAAAGTTTGTTAGTGCCGACAGAGCTTAGGTCTGGCTCAAGCTTTTTCAGTTCAACATTGCCAAGTATTTTGTTGATTACTAATTTTCTTCATCATCATTCTGAATTTCTGAAATCTTATTTTTCATTTTCAAGAGGTTTTTTTTTTTTTTTTTATTGAACCATGCTATTTGATCTGCAAACAATACTTTTGTTATGCATTAATTTTTTTTTGCAAACTTTGTTTAGGTATTCCTTTTTTCTAAGTTTCAACTCAAGAGTGCTGTTCATAAACAGTCTTCGGGTATTTAAATGCCATATTATTTGCCCCTCTCTCTGAATTATTGTTTGAGGTTTTCCTTGAAAATCTAATGTTTTTATACATATAAAAGGGGTTGTCAATTAGCAGATTCTTACATAACAACAATCCCTTTGAACATTACTCCAAATTTTAATAAAAACTAAAAAAGTGATTCAATTCATGCAGATTACATGCAGATTTATAATGACCTTTGAACTAGAACATTCAACAATGAAGTTAGTCATTAATTGGAAGAAGAATATTTTCAATTTTATAGGAACCTACTTAAAAATAAGTAGCAGTGATGAAAATAATATTGTTTGGTTTTCATTTCATATTAATTTTGTGCAGTGGTGTATCGAGTGGGTATGTGCGATGTGTGCCGGGGGGGGGCAAAAAAGCAAAGGGAGAAATATAAAGTCACTCAAGCGCCCCTCACCTAATCATCAGCCCTTCCCCATTTCACAACTCCAAGATATGCCACTGAAAAAATGTTAATGTTTCTTCAACTTTCAACTCAGTTGAATGCTACCTCCTATGTCAAATAAATGAAACATGCATTGGAAGCAAAATCAATATGATTCTGACAAAGGTTATGCTAATTTATTTAAATAGAATCAACTGTGTATAAATAAATGAAAGTATTCTCACAAATTATAATTTACAAAAAAAAATTACCTGCAATTTTAGTTTAAAATGGTGCAAGTTGCCTAGCTAATTATAAACACAACTAACTGGGACAACCAAAAAATATTTTGTATAACCAATGTTTTTTTAGGTAACATGTAAAAATACTTTTGCTAGTCAAAATGTATTGCTTTCTCTGTCTATGATAACACAGTCTATTTAGAATTACTCTAGAGTACTTTATTTGTAACAGCTGCATGGTTAGTAATAACAGCAAAAGGTAATTATAATCAATGAATTATCAAAGGAATATGGGGAAATAACAGCAGTAGCAAAGATCATTGACAAAGGGAATTGCTATAAATGTCGTGTGAATACAAAAGCAGAGGTAGACAGGAGTAGTAGTTGTAGTAATAGTTGCAAAGGCTGTAGCATGTAGTGTTTAATAATGGCAACACAATTTTTCTGAAGAAAGCAGTTAAAACACATTGATGCACAAGTAGCAGCAAGTTTCAATATGTGGGCAAAGTAGCACCACATACAAGGTAGTTGTAGCACATGTAACAAAGTAGTCACATTACAAGTAGCAGCAAAATTAAGGGTTCCTTCCCCCCACTTTGAATTTGCTACTTGTCTTTCAGTTACATTGGGAGTTATAATAATAATAATAGGCCTACATGTCTTCAATCTGCTGTACATTCATTGGCTTTATTATTTTTTATCATTTCAATAGGCCTCTTCATCAAAGGAAAATGCATGTTATTTTCCTGTTTAAATATCATTATTTGGACTAAATTGATAAGCAGACAACTATACAAAGTTTCCCATGCACATGTGACTCAAGAATGGTGTTGTAGTACAGACATAGGGGTTCCACTGACGGTGGATATAGGAATACATTCTTGTTTACTTGACAATTTGCATTTTTGGGAATTTGAATATGTGTTAACCATACAGTTTGTCATAGAGAAGCCATTTTTAATCATTTTTTTTTTACATTATCTACACTTTTATCATCCCACAATTGTTTTACTATCTTGATGTCTGTATTAGCCTGCCTAGAATATAACTTTCTGTACCACAACTTTTCTATCTTCAATGATGGTGTAGTTATTATTAGCCTGTCTATTAAGTTATTATATTTTTAGCCATCTCCTTCTTTGTCTATCACTTTAACATATTTTTTCTAGCACTGAGCCTGTCAGCTAGTGTGATGGTTTTCCTGAGTAGTTGCAAGATTCTATCAGTAATCTAATTAACAATGCTTTATGCTGATTTAAGTACAAAAGATACCAAGTACTTTGTAGTGTCCTTCATAACAGCTTGTCGTTTTACCATCTTAATTCTTATTCTGTTTAGTTTCTTAATAGTCCACATTTTTACTATTACATACATTGACTAAATTTATGGTTGCTCCAGGAACCACCTACCAATAATATATATTTCTTAAAGTGCAACCCTGACATGTCACAGCATATGAGCAAAGAAGTACAGTTGTATTTCAGTACTGAAAACAACTATATTAATATAACTAGGGTGGATTAGCTCTTAAGTGGATGCAATGTACCGAGAAACTGGAAGTTCTAATAACTGGCAGTTAGGGTTTTTTAATGGTTGTAAACCTGGTGGTTAAAAGTAAACCTGGTGGTTAAAAGTAAACCTGGTGGTTAAAAGTAAACCTGGTGGTTAAAAGTAAACCCGGTGGTTAAAAGTAAACCCGGTGGTTAAAAGTAAACCTGGTGGTTGAAAGTAAACCTAGTGGTTGAAAGTAAACCTGGTGGTTAAAAGTAAACCTGGTGGTTAAAAGTAGACACTTCATTTGTGGTTGAAAGTAGTTTAAAAGCTGGTTTAAATTAAAAGTCGAGTATGCTTTGCTTATTGTTAAAATTTAATTTTTTCAGGTGGTTAAAACTTCAGTCTTAGATTGTGGTTATTTGATTGCAAAAGCATGTGGTTTTTAATAGTGGAATTGTAACTGATGGTTAACAGTAAAGTGGTTAAAATAAGGCTCTTAATGCCATATCTGATTATATATTGAGTTGTCTTGTTGGTAGTGAAAAGTAGACTCTTATCTAAGAGTTAACAGTGAAGTTCCTAGCTTGTGGTTTAAAAGTAGATTCATGAGCTAGTAGTTAAAATTAGAGTCCTAAAGTTGGTACTTAAATTTATCTAAAGGTACATAAGATATTGTGATTAAAATAGGTTATTAGCTGGTTGTCTTCCCCCCCCCCCCAGGTTCTCATAGTAATACTTTGTAATTTTACACAACTGTTATAAATGACATTGCTGCTGGATAAATTACCCTTTAAGTATGTGCTCAACATTTTCTACTTGTGTTTGTTTCAGGTTGGAATGAAGACGTCTACCTCACTGACAGATGTGGTTGTGGATACCCATCGCCGTAAACATCTAGCTTATCTAATGGCTGACCAAGGTGCAATTGTAAACCCAGAAAACACCACTAACCTACCTAAACAGGTTAGTATGACAAGTTAGGGCCTAAGTTATACCTGGATGGAAACATTTCTAATATAATATTGATTTTTAAACATATATCCCTCATGATGAAGGCACAAAACTATATTTTTAATATTTCTATATTGTATTTGAAATTATATAATTAGCAACCTGAGCAAAGTGAATTCCTACAGTAGTGATTGACTGCTTGAGATTGCCCAATACAATAACACTCAATACTTTATGTTTTCCTTTTTTGCATATAAACTCTGGAACTCTCTGCCCCCACAGTTACTTTAATAGGTGCTTTAAAAATGTGTTTTATTATTATAATACATAAAAATAAAATACATAAAAAATTATGTATTGATATATAATAGAATAATGGTTAAAAGTGATTCGTCAGGACTGCAACGCATATCATTGTTTTGGAACAAATGCCTCTGGAAACCATTTTCCATGATCGGCTTCTTAAAAAGGCAGAGGCTATTATGGGTGGCCAAACTCATCCTGCCTCAAACCTATTCCAATTGATGCGCAGTGGTCGACGTTTTCGTTCATTGAAAGCCACTAAGGCTAGATTCAGGAATAGTTTCTTTCCTAGAGCAATTAGGGCTCTAAATTGTAGGTAAATGTTCCATACTTTTGCACTTTGTTTCTTTGTTTGTGTTTGTTCTGCCTTTTGGAATGTGTTTTTTACCACAGAGCAAAACAAATTTCTTTGTTCTCCTGAACAATGACAATAAATATAATTGATTGATTGATTGATTGATTGATTGATTAAATTCATATTTATTTTTTTGTATTGCACAGCATTTGAACAAGAGGCATCTGCACAGGCGGAAATCCTTCACAGGACTTTTATTCGGTATGTCATTGTCTTCCTAATTATTATACTCTATATATTAAGTATATTTTTGTAGTCTTTCTATGTAAGATTTTTTGTAAAGCACATTGAACAGATGTAAATCTGAAAATGCACTATGTAAATAAATGTGGCAAAGACAAGCCAAATTGTCTTTTGAGTTCGATTTTGTTATAGGGTTAAAAGAGTAAAATAAGAGCTATAAAATGGTAAAAAAATTGTTCAAATCCGACATTTCCTTCTGAAGTTACAAGCATTTAAGCATACAGCTGTTTAAAGAACAATATATGAGAAATAAGCCTTCAAAGTTTATGATTTCTGGCATTTCTCATGCAGAAACTATTATAAAATTATTAAAAAGTGTTGTTTTAACATTGAAATTTGGAAAAATAACAGCACAGCATGATGTATAAATATATAAACCTTAGTTTAGTGAAATAAAATAAATTTTTAAAAATTTCACATTCTAACATGTTTTTGCTATTTTCTCTGAAACACAATTTGCGACGAGTGACTGGTTTGGCTTGTCTTTGCCACAAATAGTTGTTTAATAATAAAAGTGTTAACTTATAATACATACCACAAAATGCTAGTGCATCGATGTGCTTAACAGTATAAAAATAACTTGCTTTGTGCCGTTTCAAATTTCATAAAGTACAAATTAATATGTAGATCACTAAGATACGATTGCATCCAATTGTTGGGAACTAAAAATGAATGTTTTTTTTCTTATATGTAGGTCAGGATGAAAAACCAGAAGACTTAAAAGCTAAGAACATAAGACAAACAGAATTGATAACAGACCTACGAGAAGCTATCTTACAGCTGGGTAGACACTTTCAACAAATTGACCCAAAGAACACCAAAATTGTGAGTGTGACATTTTACTTGCTAATAGAATAATGTTTTTGTTTTTGTTTGTTAATTCTCAATATGTTCAAAAATATAAGTTTCCAGAAGTTCCCTGATGCTAAGGTTGTCCAGATTATCAAATTTTCTTTCTTTTACAAAAATATGTTGTATGGCCATATATCAGTCATGATGTGTCCATATATTATGCTTATGATGTGATGTCATCATGACTATATCGAGGTATGTCGCAGGTTTTAGTCAAATAAAATCGGGGAGCTTTATGAGTTTCCAATTCAAGTATTGCATAAAATAGATGAACAAGTAAACAAATACATGAATAAATAAATAATGATATAATAATAATAATATGTATGTAATTATTATATGATAATAATTTTATGAATAACTATAAATAAACAAATGAATGAAGTGAAATTATGCCTTTTTCAGAGCCTCCTTCCGGACTACAGTCTAGGAAGTCACCAAAATGATCACGAACAGTTTGTTGCTGTGTCGAGAACGAGGAGGAGGAGAGCAAAAGCACTCCTGGACTTTGAACGTCATGACGACGATGAACTAGGCTTCCGCAAAAATGACGTGATAACAGTGAGAATTCGAGCATCTTATATTAATTAATTAATTTTATTAATTATTCACCTATACAAGCGCAAACTTGAAATTTGCCATTTACGTGAGGTCGTAAGCGTAGAATTTATTGACCTTTCCTGAGTGTCAATCAAACTTAATTGACCAATCAGAAGATTTTATTTTATTTATTTTTTTTTATTTATTACACTTCATCACTGCAAAAAAACAAGAACAATTCAAAAACAAGACAAAAAGCAGCGAAAAGGAGGGGATGAACAGGTGTCAAGCACCGTGTATAAGAGACAGTTACAGAACCACACAAAATATACAAGAGAACAGGCGAAAATACAGAACATTAAAATAGTAAAATAGTAAATATACAAATTTAAACATACAGTACAAAATGTAGCTTAAATTATTAATTATCATTAATTTTTAATTTATTTACAAAGAGATAGAATTGTATGATGTACATTAAAATTGATTAATTATTTGTTAATTTAAATGTTTATTTACAAAGGCTAATAAAAGAATAGGAAAAAAAAAAAGACACTCAGAAGAGTAATAACAAAAAATTTTACAAAAATCGAATTAAAATAAATTTAAACCAGAACTATCAAAATATTGCACAAAAAAGTTAAACAGGATGAATACAATTTAAAAATTTCAAAACAAAATTACTCCATAATTGGAGTATTAATAAGAGGGCCAGGAAACGCACAGTTTTAAGCTAGGCACTCACTGCGCACTTCTATGATGAACGCAATGCGACGACGCTTGCGCAACTTATCGTTTTTAATGATTATCCGTTCAGACTGCTACCGATGGCCTTGAGTCATCTATCGCTCACAGGGAGCGCAGTTGGATTCGTTGTGTGACGGTCGGAGGATCGTTGTACGATGCAGTTACACCGTCGATTTGTGGGACCTTAACAACAATAGGGAGATTTCTGACGTAATGACTTCACTAACATTTCATCTGCGCATGTGAGAACATTAAGTGGATTCTAGGATGCAATTTGGCCAAATCTACATTGTGCAGAAAACGTAGGACGGTCATGCATGAGTGAATCCGTTCTAGAGTTGCTTCGTTGCGCAAATCGAAAGCGCCCTTATATTCACGAAAAGGGCTTTTGCGGAAAGGTCCCTTGTAGATTTAACATTTACACCACATTACACCTGAGGAAGAGCATTATGTGCTCCAAGACTAGTGTCTATCAAACTACGGTAGTGTAGTATTAATTAAACCTTTTGCCTACTGAGTCGGTCTAAATCGTGCATATCAGGACCTTAACCAGCCCTTCCAACATTCGTTGCTCATTGTAAACCATCAGGTATTAATACAGGTTTTACTTGTTCTGCCCCTGTCCGGACAATCAAATTTTATTTGACAAAAAACTGTTGTATGCCCATATATAGTCATGATGTACCTATATACAGTCATGATGTGATATTTTAGGCATATTTAGGCATGTCATGTTTTTGTCATGTAAAATTTTACAATCTAAACGGGGCATAAATGATGACATTTTCCACTAATCTGATGTTTTCTAATAATCTATTCTTTTTTTGTATCTATAATTTCATACTTTATTTTTTGTAGATAATTTCACAGAAGGATGAGCATTGCTGGGTTGGAGAATTAAATGGACTCAGAGGTAAGGTCACGTGTTAACAAGACCATTATAGAAGCAGTTGGCGCACCGGTTGTGGTTTGGACTCCCTACCTTGAGGTCAGGGGTTCGAATCACTCGCTGTGCAAGTTGCTTTTGTCCTTGGGCAAGGCACTTCATTTACGTTTATCTCTCTCTACCTTAGAGAGTATAAACGGGTACCTGGTAGGATGTTGTGCCATTAAATGTACTAGTTCGTGCGCTATATAAATAGCGCACGACTAGATATACTTCCAGGGAGCAGAGAAGATTACACTTTGTGCTGGTTTGCCATTGTAGGTTATCCAGTGACCAGGGGTAATAACGCTCAGCGTCTTTGATCTTCAATCTGGAATTGGGGCTATATAAATGTATTATTATTATTATTATTATTATTATTATTATTATTATTATTATTATTATTTTTATTATTATTGTTATTATTATTATTATTATTATTATTATTTGGAGATATTTTATTACTATACCTCATAAATTTTAATTAGGTAATTACAACTTTTCATTGATCAATTCCACTACATAGGTGAACTGTATGCAAACTGTGTAATTTACCCTCCTAGATTGAAATGACTAATGTAGACAGACGTTTACTGTTTAATATTTATGAGGTACTGCATAGTAAATCAGTGCAACATGGTTTTTTTTGGGTAAAGTAGTAAATTCTATTTCCCTTGTTGGATGTTTGGGACTACATCCCGATGCCATGATTGGCATCTACTTCGTAGTAGAATGCTTCAAATTTATATAATTAGGAAGAAATATACATATCTTATCTTTGGAGAGTTCAAGGCAGTGGTGGGCGTAATGAAAATAAAGAAAACCTTTAATTATTTTCAGAAATTTCCACTTTTTTTGGGCCGCGTGTGTGCTAATTGGCCACAAATAAAATTTTATTTTTATTCACAATCATAAATATTTGCAGTCGGTGTGTTTACTAAACAAGATAAAAAAAAGTCTGGCTTTATCTTAAAGAATATGAAAAGTATGATAATGATAATGATGTCAGTGATGATGATGTTGATGAAAATAATGAATGTGATTCTGCTAATGATTATGATGATAATGACGGCAGCCAGGACTACAGGATGGGGATTATTATTATTATTATTATTATTATTATTATTATTATTATTATTATTATTTTCAATGATAACCAAGATTCTTTTTTCAAGTTCATGACTGTTCATGACTAAATTTTCTTAACAGTTCAACACATACATTACCTCATTCATACATCAGTGATTTTAAAAAAGAAGTTACCCAAACAATTCAATACTTTAATCAGTCCATCATATATTAAAACAAAATCTTTAATGTTACTTGCAATATAATTAATTTATTCTGTAGGGTGGTTTCCAGCAAAATTTGTTGAACTTTTAGATGAAAGAAGTAAAATGTACACAAGTGCTGGGGATGACACTGTCACAGAGGTCATCACAGATCTCGTCCGAGGATCGTAAGTTTTTTCCATTATACAAGATAAATTTTTTTTCAAGATTTGCATAATACAACATTGTGAAATAGTACTTTTATTCATTATCTCTGTTAGCTATTATTTTTAAATATAAAATTGAGAAATTTTTCATTAACAAAATTGAGAGTAGAAGCCACTGTTAAACTAAAAAAAGATTTTTGAAAAACCACTGGCAATCCATTGTGTTATGCTAACAAGGAAACCTCTTTACAATTTGCAAATTTATGTTGGGGGTAATGGTGCCAGAGAGAGAATTCCTATCTCTTGGTTATTGTTTTGTTAATTTTATGTATTAGTGTTTTAATGTATTTTATATTATTGTTTTTTACATGGTAGGGATTTATCAATCTCAACTACAACATACAAAAAACTTGAGATGAGCTTTAGCAAACAACGTAAGCTTATAAAGCCATCTCATTCATTGTTGTTGTTTAAAAATCATCTTAGACGATTATCGAGATTTGTATAATAGAAGCTTTGAGCCTAACCATTATAGACCTAAGTAAAAATTATAAAAGGCTACAACATTTTATGTTTTAAGTAAATGCACATTTAACAGTGGACGGGGGCGGTAGAGTAAAGCTACCATGACACGCATCGTCATGAATTTTTGCCCAATGGTACATTTTCCAGGGGCCGTGCAGTGTTGTTTTTGCCAAGGGGGGTGCGAGTGACAGTCTAGGACCTATGGTTCGAAGGGGACAGACCCTATGATCGAGAAGAATGTTTGGGGTTTACTATTACCTGTTTGGGGTCTAGGGATTATACATTTTGGAGTTTTAGTCATTTTAATTGCTCATCTAAATTATTTCACATTTCATTAGTGATATTTTTGGTTGCTGCCCAGGGGCAAACACCCCTTTTACTGCCCCGGGATGCACCACTGTTGCAGATGTGTCATGCATATATTTAGTGCAATTAACTTCAATATTAGTTTATATATATTTTTTTTTACACTTATTCATAATACTTTTATATTAATATTATTTTGATCATCATTTCCATATCTTATTCATATAATGTTTAACATTTACACAAACAGATTCAGTAGGGTTGCTAAAAGAATTTTTATGAACGGCATAAAAGCACCACATGTGCTTGGTGGTATCAGCCACCCATGGCTATTTATAGAAGAGGTAAATCCTTGAGTACAGGTGTTAATTACTCACCACAGGTGTCAGTTACTCGTCACAGGTGTAAATTACTTCATCCAGGTGCTATTATTGGACAGCGGCAGATCCAGAGAATTGACAGCAGGGGGCATATTCATGTGGAAGTTCTAAAATTTTAAAAGTTTAAGACTTTTTAAGAGGATTACTAATAATAAAAATAGGGGAGGGGGTGGGGTGGGTAAAATGTACCTGTGTCTGCTCTGGATCTGCCATACCACATCTTTCTTACCTCTCTTGGACTCTTGTGACCTTACCTGTTACTTGTAACCACTAATATTCTTACGATCCTATTTAATTTTTGAAAACATTTTATTATTTGGTATCACTTCAATAATTTTGGGTGTATAAGTAGTATACTAATTCTAATAAACAAGAATGTTTGACATCAATTAACAATGGTTGAACAATTTCATCAAAGAGGTTAAAAAATTTTCAAGTAGCTGATTTGAACTGGAGAGGGCAGCATCATTACCAACTGTCAAAGGTGAACAGTAAATAGTAAATAGAAGACAAACCAAACAGCACTTTCAGACTAACACATTTTAAAATACACAAGCTTTCAACCACACATTGGTCTTCATCAGGTGAATGTGTGAATGGTGCACATTTGTCTATTGTAGCTGTACCTACATTTTATTAAGAAATTTTAAATACATATTTTGAGGTCATATTAAAGAATATTCAACAAAAATATTATTCTTGCTGTCATCTAAGGCTTTCAACGCTTATATAAAACAGAAGATGGATCCCACCATGCACAATTTAGCATCTTAGTGTGTATTTTAGAAAGTGACTAATTATTATTTTTTTAGTTTGTCTTTTCGTTTTTCAAATCTATAGAATGTCCTAACAATATGCATTTTATATTCAACCATTATTATATAACACGTACAACTACCATACTTAACATTGATAACTTTATGTGGATAAATTTATTTATGGTGTTTCTTTGGTTGTATACTTCTATTTAACTGGTAATTTTTTATCTAAACATTGTATGTTTCTATTTCTTTTATCACTTTGTTAACATGTGTGTGGTGTGGACTTCTTCCATTGCTCTTCTTCCGTCACTAACCAGTCTCTGCCCATGCCTGAAGCTAATCTTTGGACATGGCATGAAGCAGCCGTCTACACTGGGTGGACCCTGCCATCCATGGCTCTATATAGAAGAGGTTAGTATGTGACAACTTAAGACCAGTTAATAGGACAACTTAGACCAGTTAATAGGATAACTAAGGCCAGTTAATAGGACAACTTAAGATCAGTTAATAGGACAAGTTAGACCAGTTAATAGGACAACTTAAAACCAGTTAATAGGACAACTAAGACCAGTTAATAGGAACTCTAAGGCCAGTTAATAGGACAACTTAAGACCAGTTAATAGGACAATTAAGGCCAGTTAATAGAACAACTAAGGCCAGTTAATAGCATTGTGCTGTATTACAGCTATATCAACAGAGAATAAGAACAGCAGCC